ATTGCTGCAGTAATTTGATCGATTCATCTAAAATTTTAAAACACTGTATTCATTCTATTTAAACTTTATTATCATGAATGAAATTGGATAACCCAAAAACCATTCCCATATTGAACCACTTTTGCATGCAGAGAAAGGAGGAGAGCACATTGTTGAATATGATCTAACAGCATCTTCACCAAGCAAAGACAGTTATAAAAATTGCATTCTTTGATTTGACCTTCCCAATGCCAATAGAGTCTGTTACTTCCACACCTTTCTCCTTCTCGTCCCTTTCAGTTAGTAGCAGTGGAATCTCCCTCGACTCGTTCATTCCCACTTGGACAGACTCCCTCTTTTGCCTTCTTTATCTTACCGGAGTGCCAACACAGCTGTTAGTTATTAAGAAAAAGCTTTAGAGTTAATTAGTAGATTGATAGAGTTAATCCAATGTGAAAAATGCCAAAGGGATGAATATGTTTTATAACCACTGTATGTGTAGGTAGCACTGCATGTACTGCTCAGTTCTTTGCACATGGTATTACCTTCAACAATGAAACAATGAAATATTTCATTATCAGTGAAAGCAGAGAATAAACAATTTTGAAAAACACATAAAACACCTGTTACCTTGTTACAGTACCTTGCTGTCTACCGGAATTTCACCTTTGATACAGTATCACTTCCCAGAGCTACCTTTAGTCTTACTGTACCTGTAGCAGTTCCATTCTTTCTTTTTCTATTTGTTGTAGCTTCTGAGTGGTATTAGGAGGTCTGCACAAAAACTGTAAGAGAAGAAAATATTTTCCTTTATCCATCCATACCGAGGATGCACAGGGTATTCAAAACTCTATGGTAACTTTTCATACTTTGATGATTTACAGTTAGGAGATTGTAATGCATTAACTGGATCCAGAGCATTGAAACTGTTTTTGGACAGTAGAGGGCAGTGTAGTGACGTTCCAGAGACACAAAGAGAGAGCTAAAGAAGGTTTCACATTTGCAAGAGTGATAACTTTTAGATGTTTCTCCTCTGACTCCTCAGTAAAAAGGGTCAAAAGTTGACAAGGAATGTCAAGTCTGGTTTGAGGTTAGACCAGCAACTCTGCATTGAGTGAACATGGAAGTTCGTAGCAAGGTTCAGTCACATGGGGAGAGAAAATGGGAAAAGTTCAGTATAATATACAAACTACTGCTGTTAGACAGATGGTGTATCGCTGTTTGAGAACCTGGCCAAACTGGATCAGTCAGTTCTAAAGGAAAACAGCAACAGACAAAGTCAAGATGGGGAAGGCTGGAAACCACACATTTGGAATGGCCTCAGCCTTGTTCTGTATATTTCTGAAGTAACAGAGAAGGTTCTGTGCATATATCCACCAGACCACACTACCAAGCCTGGGGGACCAATCGCAGAGCAAAAATAGAAAGCATAGAACAATAAATATCACAATCGTACTTCATTGCAGATTTTACCAAATGAAAAAAAATATTTTCCAAAAAATAATGCTTGAATAAATGACTTGATAAGATTGTCTGATCAGTAAGATTTATATATTTATACAACGTTAATGTTATGACACAGCCAGAGATTTTCAGGACCCATGCGCAAGAGACCGGGGAAAACTGAAATCGTGAAAAGGAGATTGATTACTGGCTGGAGGGGCTAATCAGCCCAGGCCGGTCAGTAATGAGGAGGAACGACGATCCCAGGAGAAGCTGGGCAAACTGCATCCCTGGCAAGAAAGAGGCTGCTAAACACAGTCTGTTGGAGAAAGGGAGTCTCAGGCACAGAAAACTCAAGAGTGCCAGGGGTGCACATTGGTGGGTCGACGTGGTGAGCAATGAAAAGAATAGATGTGGAAAGAAGTGCTGGCTAGTATCAGAGACTGCTGCGTCAGGCGAAGCAGAGAGCTGGCTGAACCTGAAGCGGCTGCACCAGAGAGCTTCTCTGAGAGCTGAGGATGCTGCACAGAGTGAAAGTTGGAAGCTGACATTACTGCCAAACCGAATCCACCGGTCAGAAAACACGGAGTCTTGTGTATGGGAGAAACCAAGTTGCAAGCTACCTGGGAAAGGGGCCGGATGGCTTAGAACAGCAGACTTGAGGCAGCTGATGCTGCTGCGCAGAGCGGAGGCTGGCTGTGTGCACCGAGCAAAGCTGGAGCAGAGGCTTGCGTGCCGGGTGATACTAGAGCAGAAAACTGCCGCACAGCTCGTGGGTCACAAGAAATAAAGGGAGAATCACATGTCGAGAAACCAAATAGTGAGCCTACTGAAAAAAAAGAGAAAAAAAA